TGTACTTGCTAGCTATCATCTTTACTATTTTATCACAAAAGATTGAGTACCTAGAAAGAATTTCATCAAGTACCTAGGAGAGACAGACTTAAATGATGGAGGTTGGGGAGGGGAAGGGCTGGCATAATGTCCTTTGAGTGGTATGTCCAAATTGTACAAACCAGCACCTTTCTCTTGATAGTACATTTTAGAATGCAACATGTAAAGTGCATTTATGTTTCATGTAGACAATAAACATGGTCAACAACCTGAAAAAATATGTATATTTGATTTTGCGAAAACCTCATTCCTCCAGTAGCATTCCAGTTTGTTTTAAAGGTGTGGTTTACCTGTGTGGTGAATAAAATGCTGGGAGTCTGGGAATAACTAGTAAGCATGCGCGCATGCGCGCGTGAGGTTGGCGCCAAAGTATGAAATGGTTCCATCGAAAGCTTCGCACAAAATATCATCTTTTCACGCTTCTGATTGTAAAAAAATGACTTGAATTACATCACTGATGGAGTGGACGCATACTAAATCAGCTCTGCAAAGGCTAGAATRCCTTCTTACTTGTAAAATATGGTACGTAAACATAGTTTAGACATTGTATAAGTTAATTCATTTAAGCTTATTAAGTTAAGGCTTAAGTTTCTCATTAATTAGCCTGCAATGATTAAGCTTTTATATGTTTTAGTCATCTCTTGATAAATGAACCTTGTTCACTGGAGGCGTGTGATCACTACTTTTGCAGGTATRAATAAAAYAAGTCCTCGTATATTTGATTTTTYGAATAGTGCTTTTTAAAAATACTAAAATGTTACGTCATTGGCTTACAGACATTGTGTGCAGAGGATTGTTGGTGTCAATAGTCAGTGTCCTGAATGTGGTTCCTTTGCTTGGATTAAAGACCTTAAACCRAACAGACAACTAAGCAATTTAGTTTCACTGTGCAGATCTATACGCAGTGGCATTGAGAATGGCCATAATATTGTTGAAAACACACTAGGTACTAGCAGTTCTAACTTTGCTGTCTTTTGAAAATTTTATAGAATGTTTATATAACTTATCGTACTCTGTGTTGTATTGCATCCACTCATAATGCCTGCATGTTTTTTTTTTCATATTTTTTCGTTTGCTCTTCAGCTGTACAGAAAGATCCGAACAGTTGTGAAAGCTATGGACAGCATTATCAACAAGATAATGAAAAAGTTGATGGATTACGTGGATTAGAAATGACTGAAGGATTGGCAGACTATAATTCTTCTAGCAATAGTCATAATCTTGGGAAATACCCTGGAACAACTGAGAATAGCATTCTTGATGATAGTTATAACTTTGTCTTTTCTGACGAAACTGCACATAACTTGTCAAACTCATCTCTTGAACTTTTTAGTGCACACTCACCTTGCTTTCCTGATGAAAGAAATGATTTTAATAGAGAAGCTGCAGATTTTAATAACCGAGAAATTATAACAGAGCCTACTGTGACAAATCAACATGATTCAAACAAAACACACAAAGGGCAAAAAAGAAAACTTTCTGATTGTGAACAAGATCTTCMAAAAACATCAATAAACACATCTAATTGTGATTCTGAATCCATAAGACAGACTATTAGCAGGAAAAATATAAAGAAAGTAAAAGAGCRAAACAGCATTGATCACAGATCAGTCTCGACACCTACTAGAAAGAAGTGTTCATCAGCACCTTCCGATAATACAGCAAACAGCAGTACATCACCAAGTACTAGACTTTTGTCTTCAGTGATGCTATCACCAGGTCAATTAGAAAAGAAAAATAAAAGGGGCGAGGGATTGCTTCATGTAGCAGCAATTAAGGTTTGTTTGAATATTCTATTTGAAGACACAATTCCATCCATAGGAATGGGAATATTATGCTATGACAAGTAATACAYCAAACATAAGGGGCAAGTGTTGGACTAATATAAAAGCAAGAAGTCTGGTGAAAAAAAAAACAACAACACAGATTTAGTGGAGTTTTTTAACTCGTTTTGAGTTGTTTTGATGCTGCACTGATCAAACAATAGTGTGAGTTTTGGATCAACCAAATTCATGAAWAACTATAGCAAATGAATTCAAAATAAACGTTGTCAACTCTTAGTCCACAACACCAGAATGGTGTACTAGTCTTCTTTGCAGACTCTCCTTTTATTGGACTTTCTGTTCTTCCCTAAAGAAGGGAGGAACAGGAAATAAGATCAAATGTGAGGCTGCAGTGATGTTGAGAGGTCTTGTGTCTGTCAAATTTGAAATAAAAAAATGAAAACTTTATGGTGCCAAGCTCTACAGTTTAATTTTAAAACAGTACCGTTTGCCTAGAGGGTTTCATGATGCTAGTTTTGTTAGTGACTTTGTGTTATACTAATAAATTATTCATGAATTTGAGAGAAAATTAGAATAGTTTTGAAACACAAAGAAACAATGAAACTACTGAATCATTGCCTAACATATCATGTCTCTTATCAAAGGGTAATTTGGAAGATGCAAAATGGCTGCTTGAAAAAGGTGCCAATCCCAATGCCAGAGACAATGCGGGATGGTCCCCATTAGTAAGTAATAACTCTAATCTACAGATAATTAAGCTACATAACGGTATTTTTAATATTTATTGTATAACCAAGAACTGTGTGCTAAATGTGGTACTTTGAATATGCTTTAATWTTTTTTACAGCATTTTTAATCCATTAAAAGAATGAAATATCATCAAGATAATGTGCTAACCTCACTTAGTTTTTGAATCTATCGCCATAAAACAAAACAAACAAACAAACAATAAAAAACAAATTTAACATTAAAAAGACTAGAAGTATCAAGATGAAAGTTTGTTCATATGTTACTCTTGCTGTTAATGACTTTTGTTATGTTATATAATGATATCTATAATACATGTACTTCATTCATAGCATGAGGCCTGCAATCATGGTCATGCAGCAATAGCCAAGATGTTGTTAGACTATGGTGCAATCATTGATCTCCCTGGTGGCTTTGACCATGATACACCTCTGCATGATGCTGTAGCAAATGGTAGACTAGAAGTGGTGAAGTTGYTAGTTCAAGAGGGAGCTCCTCTAACACCAAGGTATGTCGATATAATCAGAGAAATGTATTCTTTATTCAAAGATAGCAATTAACTGATTTCAATGGCATCTTTAAGGAAATCAAAAATGGGAAAACTAAGTTTGCAATTAAAGACACCAAAAACTGACAAATATGCAATTCGCAAACAATCTTTCCTGGTTTTTTCCTTTCTTCTTTTTGTTGGTATTTTTTACTTACTGTAGGTGTTAAATATTGAGTGACCATGTCCTTTTGACAGACTCCTGGTATCTTTTAGAGTTTGTTTTTTGATATACCCAAAGAGCATACCCCATCATTGTACCCATAAGTTTCTTCCCTACTTATCGCTATGTTTACATGTATCTTTGACAAATGGGTTGTAATTTCCACAGAAATAAACGAGGAATGACTCCTCTTGATATTGCTGTATCAGAAACAATGAAAGATGCCTTAAAAGCCTTTCAATCTCCTTCTGTGTCTCCCAATGAGAAAACATCTTCAGTGATGGAAAAGAGAGTCAAATGTGTCGAAGTGGTAAGTAGATGGAGTATAAAAAGCAGGTAATAGTACAATAAGTGGAGAAAAACATGTAATATTGCTCGATGTTTGGTGTTGTGGAAGGAAGCTATTAGCCAAACCTTTTAATTGGTCTACATAATGATACTGCACTYTAATTTGGAGTCATTTTCCTACTATTTTTTTTATTATTTTTTCAGCATAACCAAGAAACATGTAAAGTAATCCTTTGCTCTGGCTTGAAARCAGAACAAAAGGTAAATTGGATTAGTGTCAAATATATCTTTGATACTAAAAGAATACATCAGAAAGAACATATTATTATTTGTGGRTTGCAGGAATTACTCGAAGATTGTACAAGAATTCTTGGTGGGAAGGTTGCAAATGAGTTTTGTCCTGAAGGTATAATCTCATTACAGAACACAAATTTTATACTTATTATTATTAATAATATTATTAATATTGAACCCTCTTGCATTTTCCATTATTTTGGTGTGCTGTCAATCAAAATACTTGACTTTACTTGGTTGAACCCCCTCCCATGACCTTCAACATTATTGTCATTATTGTCAGCTTTATCCAGAAAACCAGAAGATGAAAGAGAGTTGGCAGTTATATTGTGTGTTATATTCAGTGTTTCCAAGGAAGTCATGATCAGACTAAGGATAAACTTCCTGATAAATTTCCTTTRCCCGGTTCTCAATTCCATTAAATGGCAGCAGGTTGCCTCATTTTTAACACTGGATTTAAATTTACCTCAAATTCTTGTTTTAGTGACCCACCTTGTGACAGTAACCAATGATTCAAATCATTGTGCACGCACTATCAAGTACCTTAGCTCAATCTTGTGTGGGAAATGGATTGTGTCCTTCTCCTGTGAGTTAAACCTTGTACCTGCAATATCATAATTCCAAATTTCCATCACTTGAATTGTTACTACTTGAACTGACCTAATAATCATCTAACAAGTCAAGCTTCTTTCAAAAATTGGATCTGCCATATTCATATTGTTTTATATATAGCAGCATGTATAAATTACTTAGATTTCAAAATGAATGAAATATAACTATAGTCAATTTGTATACTATTCCATTTTTCATACTTAGAATTATATTAATTAAAAATGACAGTGAATCAAAATTTATATTAATGGGCATTTTATCACTTATAACTTCAGGGATCAAAAAGTGTCTGTCAGTTAAATCATGGGTTGATGAAAGTCYRTATGAAGTGAAAGGGACAACAAAAGGAAAACAAGATGTTCCTCGTTTTTCCAGAATTAATGCTGAAAAGCAGGTACTATAATAGTTACAATTATCGATTAGTTCAATTCTCATCAGAATTKKATGTGGATGTGTCAATRTCACCAYTCAAGGATGCATATTCCTGGTAAATAGGCAGTAACCATGGTAACCACTTCCTGGCACCCACCACATTGACAATAGTTCCCTGGGCCATTTTAAAAGATGTGTTTGCCTTTGCATTGAAGGAAGATGACCAATGACAGTGAAAAGATAATTACCTGCTAATTATTTTGAGTAGTTATGAAAGAATGTACTSTTTATTGCATACTTCAATGCAAAGGCATGGCAACCATAATGACAGGGTACAGTGAAAATTTTATTTCTAACACTATGTATTATCAAGCAGTCCAGGCATATTATTCATACAGTTTGTTAATACATGTAATATTTTCTTTTTGCTGTCCACAGCTTCCAAGTCTCTTTGATGGCTGCCAGTTTTACTTCTGTGGTGTATTTCATCCACAAACACCACACAAAGACAACTTGATTCAGTTAGCAAAATTTGGAGGAGGCAAAGTTTTAACAAGAGAACCCAAGTCAGACATTGACTACAGACTYTTTATGCCTACTARAGACAAGAAAAGACTACCTTTAGTTGACCTTCCTGTTGTGGCTTATCATGCAAAACCAGAATCAGAACAGTATCACTGTACAAGATATATAATTTATGATCCAYTAYCAACAACGCRGCCAACACATAAATATAGAAGTCTGTCAATTGCACCTGTAAGTTGGTTTTTAGACTGTATTTCCAACTTTGAAATACTGGATATTCCTCTTTAATTTTATAAATTTAATTAGTGCWTTGTACAGCAAAAAAGAATAGAGAAAAGGTCTATGTTTTATTATCCCATTTAACAGGCAATTTCAAAAATAAAAATAATGTTCAGACATCTCTACTTGCTTAAAATTGATGAGAGTAAAATAAACATTAAACCTGGGTCGCTCTGGSTACACGATGATGGTCTGGGACAATTCAGTGGACAGGGACTTAGAGCTGGATTTACATTATAARGGCCCATGGAGCATGCAGTTGTTGGAAAGATGAGGCAGAAATGAAKGGATTGCTCMTAAATTTRCACAYKTAATACTRCACATAAATGGAGTTTTCACAAAATTTCCCTTATCACAGTCTGCTAAATTAACAGTATTCTGCTCTAACAGAAGTGAAATACATGATTGGATTTAAAAATAGTGAAAATAGTGGATTGACAAACTACTTCATTACAATATTGGTTTTGCTTTATTTGAAAAACCAAGTTACTGATCAATAGGACTTTATTTAAATACTTACAAAATATTTGAAGAAATGACTCGAATAGAAAGAGTTACAACTATTATAAAATAATATAATTATGGTAGTATACTAGATAGCAYGGATGGGACTGAACACTACTGTGTCCTTTCTGTGTGTAAGTACAGCGTAAACATCACATTCAAAACCATTGAGTAGAAGCTGCACAATATCTACTCGTAAGGACTTACTACTTTCTACTACTACTCGTAAGGACCAYAATACATTGCGGTACACACAGAACCCCCTTTTTATCATATTCACAAAGCGTAATTATCATTTAATAGTGTTAACAACTTGTATATTAAAATAACTACGAAAAAAAAAACTTTAATCTCATATGAACCATTGGTAACTATTTGGATCATTAATTTAAAGATTCTAATTAATATTATTGGCCCATTCATTTAGAAACCATAAAATTCCAAAAATTATCCCTGAACCTACCACAACCTAACAAGACAGAAAAATACAAAAAGCACTATATTTGCTACATTTGGAATTTGAATATTCTTGGCATTTTCCTTTTAAATCAATTGCAAATCTATTCCAAATGATTCCATCAAAATTTACATTTATTAGAATTTTATGGCATCAAACATTTTAAATGTTTTATCAACAGTATGTATAAAAATAAGACTTTTATRGTACTCAAAAAAATATTGGTCTTATGCTAAACAAATTAAGTGGATGTCTAACTATTATAAGACAAACCAACATGGATTTTCTAAGTATATGGCTACTGGTATGTTTATCATCCATGATGTTACTACAGTGAGGTAAGATTGTTCAGACTGTATAATTATCATGATGTAAGGTTTGAGTTTGGTATGTAGGTGAACTTTTCAAATGAGGTGTCTTCTTCATCTTCTGCGATTCTGGCCAAGTGATCTTGGAAATGAATGGAAACGAATGTTAGAATGAAACATGTAGTATACATTTTAAGGTGACAGGAAATTATTATCACATTAACTTGGTTTTAATCCCATACACAGCAAGTATAACAAATGTGTAATGATATATAATACACCTGTGAATCTATTATTGTASTTGTGGGTATGAAAGAATGTTCCTATTATTGCATGCTCAATGATTGTCTCTCTTTGCAGTGATGTTATGGAACAGGAAACTGTAAAGGAGACTTTTTGCGTGTATCTAGATTTGTAGCTATCTTTTCCATACAGCAGTGCATGCCACATAAGTGTGAAACAATTCTTAAATAATTAGCGCCTGATAAGATTTAGTTATCAACTAACTAAGAATTCAGTGAGGCATAAACAAAGACAATTTCCTTTTTGGCATTGTGTTCATGTCCCTGTGAATTCTTAGTTAGTTGATAACTAAATCTTATTAGTTGTTGATTATTAAGAAATATTTCATGCTTTTGTGGTCAGTGCACTCTATTCTCCTGCATGTCTCTCTCTGTCTTCCCTTCCTACACTTTCCTCCAGCACCAACATAACTTGAATTAACTAATGAATGCTAACTAATGTTCTATTAATTTTGTTATGTAAATTAATAATAAACACATATAATTTTTTTATTTTAAGGAAAGACATTATACCTTCTGGAGGTGTAAGACGAACTGGTTCACTAGTAAAATCTTCATCAAAATTAGACACATCTGTTTCAGACTTGATAACAGGCTTGAATGGTGGCTTTATCTAAAATTTCACAACACAAATATAATTCCACTTCAGCTAGTATTCTTTATTACAGCTCTGAGCTACCTAACATTACTTTTTTGAGTATGGGACCACAAGGCTGTTTGAGTTTGTAATGAAAGTTTGTATTAGGTCACTATGTATAAAAGGTACTGCAACCACTACTTTACACTTCAAGGTGCCGCTGTTGACTGAAATGTTTAGTATTTGTTAAACTTAATAAAAATTGAATTTTACCCTTTTGTGATAGATGTCATCCCAATTGGTGTTTTCAAAGAATTGATGTGCCATGACATTTTTAGCATCATCAACCTGGCCACCCAACCTTACAGTAGGGTCTTTACACAACAAACCAGCGAGTAGTGATTTGGCTTTGTCTGATATCCTTGAGGGAAACTTGACATCTTCCTTTAAAAGGAAAGAGAAATTGAATCCTTTAACCACATTGCATCCCCTTCCATGACATTTTTCACTTCACATTGAAGACGTTGGAATATCAATTGTATCTAAAGCTGCATGTTTTCTCAAACTACATTCACATGGCAAGTCACCAATTAAAAAAAAGATAGCTGAACAAAGTATCCACWTACTGTAAGAATGAGCTCAAAGAGAACTTCATGATCTCTGTTATAAAAAGGTAGTCTTCCGCACATCATTTCATACATGACCACACCAAGAGCCCACCAGTCAACACTACGGCCATAGTCATTGTCCTCTAATACCTATGAAAATTATCAAATTCACTAAAAGTTGCTGATGTTGATTTAAAAAGCACAAGAAAGTTGTTCATATAGGTATCAAATTTTAAAAAAATTGTTAAAAATCAATGACAACRATATTAATGATTCATCGTAAATGCTACTCAGCAACGGGTGAGCATGCTTGTTTCTGCTTTCTATCCATACTAATTAACAACCCAAGCAGTATTAGACTATTTAAGATTTTATGCCGACTACATGATTTGCAATGCATTGTGGAACCAGTTTCTGGCAAAAACAAAAAAAATCTGTCATGTTTTGTCAAAAACATATTATATAATGATTAATCGTACAATGCATTATGGCATATGGTAAGTACCCTACTTATAAAGTCAAAAACATATTATATAATGATTAATCGTACAATGCATTATGGCATATGGCATAGAGCGGATTTCGTATGAGTGGGAAACGGACGGTACTGTACTGTGACCGTAATCGTACTGTAACCAAATTCTAGTGCCCCATTGGTTCACCAAAATTCTGCAGGCCAGGTGCTGTAACTGTGCGGTAACCGTGCGGTAACGGTGTCCCACTCATACGAAATCCGCTCTATGGTGTAAAAGCTTCAGGGTGCTTTACAATAGATAAAGTTAATATTATTATAATTAGCAAACCTCTGGTGCTAGATATTCTGGTGTGCCACAAAAGGTTTTGGTTGTTGCACCAAAAGCAATCTCTTCTTTGCACAAACCAAAGTCTGTGATYTTAATATGACCATCACTGTYAAGAAGAAGATTTTCCAGCTGAAAAATAAAACTAAGTTCAAATGGAAATCACCATATAATGTCTTTTGTAAAGGACATTGCCAAAACCTACCTTCAAATCTCTGTAAACAATATGGTGATCATGTAAATATTTGAGGGCAAGAGTCATCTCTGCACCATAAAACTTTGACCGTTCTTCYGAAAATACTCGGTCTTTTGATAAATGAAAAAATAGCTGAAATGACAAAAAGAGAAAGATATTGTCACATACAGTACCTAATATTATTATAATTGTCTCGTAAGAAAGGGGAATTGAAAGATATATAATCCCATAGTCTAATTTTATTCTAAAAAGTAGGCCAAGACAATATGTGTTGTCCATGTAAGTGTTACCTACCTGTCCATTTGAGGGGACTTTCATGCAGAGAAAGGGTTAAAAAGGCCATGTACAGGATAATGATAATAAAAAGTAAATCAAAAAGATTACCTCRCCACCGTTGACATACTCCATCACAAAGATCAATCGATCTGCAGTTTGAAATGAGTACCTTAGCTCCTGAAACAAAAACAATAATAATCAGTTTACCAAAACATTTTTTTAATATTATTTCAAGACTCAGTGGAAAAGAAACTCACTGTTAAGAATGGATGCTTTGACATTTGCAACACTCTGTTTTCTGTTAATGTATGTGTTACTTCATCCTGTTGAAATGTTGAAAAAATACAAAAAAAWYMAAWWAAAAAATGTTGTTTAAATAGATGGACAAAAAATGAGAAATGAATGATAAATGGATGGATAAAACAAATGTACAAAAGAATTCATGAATGAGAAAAAAAATGAAATAGCAGGTAATGGGAAGACCAAACTAATTATGAATGAAAGGGGAAAATGAATGAAAGGGTGGGTGAATAATAAACATATAAAATAATGAAAATTATGAATGGATGAATACCCTGCAAATACAGTRTAAAAGATAACCAAATAAATACATATAGGTAGGTGATCTGTGTTTATAAATGGATGGATGAAGATGCATTCAGAATAGTTGTAGAATGGAAATGAATACACACCTTGGCAATAATAACATCCTTTTTCAAAATCTTTAAAGCAAATATTTCTCCAGTACTCTTCAGTCGTGCCATCATAACCTTAAAGAATTAKTTTCAGTAAAAATAACTACATTTACTATAATTGATCAAAATTTCAAAAAAATAAACATTGATTTTGTATGTAATGTAAATATGTCATGTCTCTCTTTCTTGTTTTTMAGCAGCTATATTGTCTGGCTGTTTTATTCATCCTGCTGTCTTGTTCCATATTATAGGAATACAGGTAGCATACCTACCTTTCCAAATGTGCCTTTCCCAAGAACTCTCAACATTGCAAAGCTATCCAATGTCTGCAGAGAAAATCTGATTATTTACTGAATATGTTCATTTAATAAACATTAGTCTTGATTTTGCTGAGCTTATTTAATAATTAAAAAATGGTATCCTTATTTCTTAAGACAGTATCCAATTTCTATTAACCAAAATCTATGTACTTTGCAACTGATTTTCTGTTTCTTTTCAGATTTTGCAGTACTTTGCAAAAAAAAAAAAAAAAAAAAATCAAAAAAAAATTATTGTCAGTGTTAACTTTGTGCATACCAATTTTTGTGAGGTTTCATCTTGTTGTGGATCTGCTACTGACTGACTCTTTTTCACCTGTTCTTTCACTTTTTGGATAGCATCAATCCACTCTTCTCTACGAGATACCAATAACCATTACTTCTGATAACATCATTACATTGAACAATGACAATGTCTTCCAGGACAGGACAAAAGCCCTAAATAAACTGTATTCCCATGTCCCAACTCAATAATCAATAATCCATAATGGCGAGAAATACGAGACACAAAAACCCTTGAAAGTTATATCATACAATTGTTGCTCTGATTCAAGTTTGGACTTGATGTTTCTCATTTTACACCTTGCATAAGCAATTGTAACAGCTTTCCCTGTGTTGYTAAAGCAATGATAACTTCTGGTGTAACAAAAAACAGGTCATGAAGTAAGAGAAACACATTGGCTAAACTTGAACAGCAACACTGTACYGTTGAGCAAAAAGTTGAGTGGTTTTTTATATGTTGTAATTCTGCCACCAATAATRTATTCTTTAAATGACCACATTGACTTGGAGGAAAACCCTGGGAGCAGCCTGCTGGCCCACCCAAAACAAATAGCGTTGGAGATACAAAAGGTTTTTCATAAGTGTATTAATTACCTTTCTTCATGTGTGTCAACATGGAAAATCCTCTCTACAAATGTTGTCCATTGCAGACACCTGGAATGGTAATAGTAATTATATTGATAAGTAGTTAAAAAATAACAATTATCATAATAAAATACTCTGGTGGATTGTGCTTCTAGAAAATTTCTCTCTACTTTGATTGAACATGTATTTACAACATCTTTTGTATATAATATATTATTGGATGTCCTATGGTATATTCGGATATGATGTCATCATGAAGAGCATGTAAATTACAGTTCCAATTAAAGTCAAATCCAATCAACTATCAACTGAAGTGAACCATGCCATGTGACATTCACATCTCACAACATTTTGGTGCTGAAACCCAGCCTTTTGGACATCATGCCTAAAGAAATCAATGCTATATATGCACAAAAAGGAAAGAGACAGACARGAGTTGAGAGAGGCTCATGCAAAATGTCAGAAAGAAATGAAACAAGATGTCACAAAAGCAAACACCATTATGGCACTGTTAAAGATTGTGAAACAGATCAAGAACTAGTTAGACAAACACATTTTTAATTCTCCCCCTCCCAAATAAAAATCACCACTCCCCATGCAAGTTGTTACATAATGTTGATACTTATTGAAAAGTCCTTTCCTTTGTCCAACTAAAAAACTAATGAGACAAAGACCTTGCCATTAAAATTGTATTTTAGGTGCTTACTTTACTATTTTATAKATTTACCTCAATTGGAAGCAGTTACTTTTTGGCTTATCAGCTCTTAATATCTGAGATTCTGAAAAAATACAAATGGATATTATTAATAAGACACAAGTACTGCTACTATTTTACTAACAATKTCAAGTCCTACTTTCAGCTACATCTACTGTACTTTAGTCTCCTTCGCAGCCTCCCCTTTTGTCAGCCTCCCTTCTTTTGGGAGGGACAGGAAGCCTGACAAATAGGGAGCCTTCAAAGGAGACTAACTGAACATGTATTTAAAAATAAAACAAAATTCTAACCATATGGATTTAAAATGAATTAAAATACGTACCAGCTACAGTGAAGTTGTTTAATGGAACAACGTCCTTGCCTTTAGGCACTTCTTTATATCCAATAAAACTACCATCACTCCATAACTGAAAATACCTTGGTCTCCAGTTCTTTATATATTCACCTATGAGCACAATATTTAACTATTGATGCAAGGGATGCTAGCCCAACTCATTAAGTAAATTGCAATAAAATAAATGAAACTTTCTCTTTCCATGCAATTTTCACACCAAACACATTATGAAAGTAYATTAAAAGTATTTATTGTTTTTGTTTTTCAATCTGTTTTTTTTTTTCAGGCAGTTCTGCAAAGAGCCTCTTATACATATATATATGTATCAATTTTAGCCACATTTTAATGTAATAATTAAAATTATATAGATATATATATAAATTTATTCAATTAATTACATCTGCTTATAAGTAAATACCTCTCTTTTGCAGCCAGCCAACTTTTATAATAGTTGCTTCACCTGAAGGTCCACTACCACTAGACATTATATAAGTCACCTAAACGTACAAAAACAATGTTTTCTTGGTACATGAACACTAGCAGTCAATAAATTGAATATCTYAAGGAATGAGGTCCAATTTTTTTCTCYGTGATGGGGTTTACAGTTCACTTGAATCAGCAATGCACAAAGACCAGCTTTTACAGGTAAATGCTTGACATTCTTAAGGCACAAAACTAGAAACTTGYTGTGGTAATTCAGCAGCTTTTGCATTCTGCAAATTTCTTTCAGAGGAGTCAGCTTTAACAGTCTTCATTAATTCGCAAGATGCAAACCTCAGACTGAAACTATTTTGAAACTTGCCCACAATGTGGTTAGGTTTATATTAACAATTTTAGCATGAAAAGGATTAATGGAATCAGTCTGAAAAGAGTGACAGCAGTTGGGAATTGTTTCAAACTAATAACCTTGGTCCAACTTAATAGGTAAACAACAACATCAACAACAGAGAACGTATACATATAACATAAACATAAACTATAACATGCAATTACCACAAAATAACAAATTCAAAACAAATTTCAACACATACTTGGGAATTGTATGTTGGCTGTATTTGCTTTGATATTTCTGAAAATAAACAAGATGGAGTCCTGAAATCATTTACTTAATGTACATAGAATTATTGAATACAAATTAGAGCTGATGGCTAAGTTTAATATTGCTGGCATTTAGTTAATGAGCTTTATATAATACTCTGAAGTCATTGACATCTCTGGATTTTGCTCAGTTTTGCTCAAAATCAATATAATTTGTGGATGTCAACTGATTTCGACTGCAAGCTTCCCGTGAGCTCCACAATGCAAAAGATTGACTTTTGAGTASGGGCCATGATTCAAAATAATATTTTATATAGTGTTACCAAAACAACGTGAACATAGCACCACTTCAYAATAATTGTTAACAATTTCTGTTTCACAATTAATGAAATTGATAGAATCAATTACTTTGTATTGATTTTATTGATTTTTCTTTATTTTTATTACTTTTGAATTCCCTCGCATCTTTGCAGCACTGGCCCCGGAAATGATCGATACAACGATCTACACAACATTTCATAATATTGTCGATTCTAAAAGTCAAATGCCTTTAAATCATTGCTAGACCACTCATTAATTATAAGTCAAAATTTTCAGACATCTTTTTATCTAATTGGAAGACATTTTGGTAAGAAAAAATCCACRTTTTCTGAAAATTTACAAAGTTTCATTATCAAATTGTTTATTTCTGCTGACGGAAAATCASAAGGGAAGTTCAAAACGAGTCTTAGAATTCCAAGTAAAAAATTTATTCTTATAAAAAATTTAACAGAGGAGACATATGATGAAGTTTAGAATAATAAACAACCCTAGAAGTAGCTTGAAAACCAAAATCTATCGCAAGTTACAACGCATTTGAAGATCTGCAAATGGACATGCAGGATACGGAATTTATGTCTGCACTATAAAACTAAATATGATGTTAAAGAAATTCCTTTTAGCACGTGAGATATACTCTTAAAATAGCCTAACCTATAGGTAGTATTTGAAAATTCAAATAAACWTAAGAATAAACGCAATATCGATGTACGTTTTCGTGAAACAACGACTTTGAATGTGTTCCGAAGTGTGACCAAGAGTGCAGGAGGAAGAAATCACTTCGAGTCTGGAGCTGAACCACAACTAATGTTGTAGGACTCTACATCATGATTTACATTTAAATAAGAACACTGATGCTAAAAACAACATCTTACCTTATTAAAGTATCAATTCTAAGGTCTCCTGATAAAATTTGCGACTGATAAAAAGTCTTCTGTCAAACTTTTCCTTTTGGAGTTCGGAAGTCTTGACGAACTGAGGTGCTAGTCACCAGTCCCTCACTTTTTTGCSCAAAGTGGGCGTGTCCTTATCAGTCCTTATGGGGCTATAATATTTTGATCAAATCACAATTACTGTAGCTAACGTTTTTGACCAAATCTCAGTTCCTGTAATCCGATTAGGATCCTTAAAAAAAAGATTTTAARAATATATATATTTCTAAGGCTAAAGAAGAGTTAATATACTCGCTTGGACGAGTCAAATAGTCTTTAAGACACTTTTATAATAGTTTTTTTTGTGTCAAGGCATATTGCATATCAATATTTTTTTTCTTTAAATATGATATGGGTTCCCCCMGTTGCCGGGGAAACAACAGCCAAAAAAGTTGTGAATACCCGCGGATGTGAATAATCTTCTAACTGAACGCAATAATTTGGTAGAAATCTTAATTTTTTAACATTCTATGTTTTTCGTTACTTTAAGAAACAACACAAATGTTTAGATTGGGCTATGTGTGTTAGGAGAAACATTTTTTGGAAAACATTTTCCATAAAACCTGTAAAACCCCAGAGATCAATTTTTGGTCTTTTGGTGATGACGTCAAGTGCTGCGTAACCACTGGAAAATTTCGATGTTGACGAGGGGTCTGGGAACGAATATTTCAGCTTTTCTACTAAACTTCAGTATGTCTTGTGCATTTGAACGATGTTCTTTCATCTGATGTTATTATTGGATCGTTATTGGCTTGTAGTTTAGCACAAAATGTGCTGCAGGTTGGTTTTTCGTTGCATAACGTTACGTTGACTTWGCAGTAGCGGTGTTGCGATCGTGTAAATGTTTCGTCCTATCAAACTATTGTTGTCAACATGCTTTGCATGTGGAATCTTTTCTCTATTATTATTCTACATATACACGGATAGTTACAGCAAGAAAAATGAAGTATCTCGCGTACAAAGAACTAGAACTATTAAAAAGGCAGTGCATATGAAAGAAAATTGGAATCTAGCCGAGAACGCGGAGACACCAATGCCTCAAGAGAGGCCGACAATAACTCTACCTACAACCTCTGTTCAAGAGCTAACGACAAAATTTGTAAAGGAAACACAAAATTCTTCCTTGAATTCTATTAATGGTGGTGATTCAATAGATCAACTTATAGAAGCATCACTAGAAAAAAATAAAAAACGTAGTCACGGTGATGGTGATGCACCAGAAACTACAGACGTTCCTGAAGAAAATGACATCTCAGAGAAAGAAGAAGAARCTCCTAGTCAAACAAGTAGTTATAACGATGAGACAAACGTTGAGCAAAATTCGAATAAAAAAATCCATTCCCCTGAAAGTGATAACGAAGAGGAAGATYTAGAACTATGTCCTGCAAAGCCTCCATCACTGAGTGAGTTTTGCATCATTTGTTTAGTGCAGATATATTCACACTATAACATAAAYTGAAGCAGAAGAAGGAAATGTGTGAACTGCGGGAAACATAAGCAGAAGCAAAGACATAAAGAGAAGTGACTTATGTTTCTGCCTCTGCTTTTTTMTGATAAGAAATTATGAATGAGAACTTACAAAACATAATCATAAGCTCACACTAGTGTCAACTGTGACATACTATCACCTCATGATCCCTTAGGGCCAATTCACACATTGACGCAAGCATGAGCTAAAAAAAACAATATGCACTCATTGTGTCTTTCTTTAATTTGTTCTTGGTTTCTGCTTCTGTTTGTATTGTAGTGTGAACCTACCTTCACATATCATTCATCATACATATTATTATAGGAAATACATGTATATCAACGATATAACATGTGGTAGTATGAGATATTACATGGGTCCACGGAGATAAAAAATTTATCTTTGAGTGTTTTCATCTTTACTATGCTGACTCATGATATATCTATGAACCCAAGAAGATAAGATTAGTATCTCCAAGCAACCATGTGATGTTCTGTTAAAACCCTAATTTATTACTATAAGACAAGAAATCAAAAAAAAAAAAATGAGTTGTATCCATGGAAGTGTGTTATTTTTGCAATACTTAATTACATTAAGTATTTCATTGAAGTATATTATAATAATTTGTTTTATCTCATATGTTTGTCTAGAATTGGTAGCTTCATGATAGTTGTATTAGGCAAATGAGAATCATGCAAAATTTAGAGAAAATATGGGAGAGTGTCAATGGGGTATTCCTCTAGTCGGCAAACAGTTACAATTTAAGATGTAAATGTTTAGTCAGTAAACAGGAGAAAATTTCTCAGCCAGTAAAATGTTTTTYATCATTGCCATGGCAACTAAAACAAGCTAAATACATGACATCAATCAAAATATTTCAGGCTCATAAAGTCCATTATWTTTAATTTGTCATGATTCAGTAACAAGACTACTGTTTCATTATTAGTTATGCAATGGTTTTCATTCATCTATTCAGATCTTTTAAAAAAGTAATTACCAATGTATAGTACTACTAACAACACTTTTGAAAATAATTTATATTAAAATAACATTAGTTTTCAAACGTKAGAGATATAGGGATTTTATGGCTAATTAATATGTGATAAAATGTATCATATTTTTTTTTAAGCTGGTCCTTTATTTGTGAATCAAAATATTCCAAAAATGGAGGATCTTSAAAAGCATATTTCAGAAGACTTTGGAGGCTGGGTGAAGAAAGGTGGAKCCTKKARCCCAACTCATTGTAAAGCCAGAGTTAAGGTATGTTGAATAATGTAAGTTATGTTTTTAGTCAAAATACATGATTGTATTGTAAGTTTGGGTTTGTCAGTTGGAATATTGTATTATAATGTATATTTTGTTTTGTATGAATTATTCAATAGCTGTTGTCTTCTGTAAGTGTTCTTATATTAGCAGCAGAGGTTGAGTGTATGAAAGAGATTTTATTGAGCTTGTATCATTGGTGAAAAGAATGACGGTTGATCTTCTGATCTTCCTTAAAATCTAAAAGTCTGCTTAAAAGACACTTAAGAAAACAATGTCACCCACTTTTTATTTGCGTGTGCTCGTGGGTCAACTTTTGAACATTTTATGATGTCAATATACTTAAAACCCATTGCACAAAAAGAAAAGTCTAAAATGTCATGAAAAAAATTAACTTATAAAGAAAAAGGAAGACTAGAGGAGGGATGTACAATAGAGGGAGACTCTGATTGGAGTGTTGATTTATTTTTATATATTTTTTGATTTAATTAAAATTACTTTTATGTTTTTTATATTTTTAGATGGCACTTATTGTACCATTCAGGAAGAGATTTGAACAGTTGGCAATTTTTGTCMGACACATGCACCCAATGTTAAAACGTCAGCAAATTGACTATCGAATAATAATTGTGGAGCAGGTACTTATATTTAACACATATTTTGTGCACAGTTGATTGTTCTTTGAACAGATACCATAGATGAAGATGTCTAATGATAGAGCTGTCTGTCTGTTAGAATGAGACAAATACAATAGCCTAACATCCTTCTGCATTTCTAGTAGCTTACAATATACAGGGACATGTGCAGGGGGTGATTCTAAGGGCTCTAGTTTCTCGGCAGACTAATTTTTTGAAACATGTGACTTCACTTACCAAGTCAATAGGGTAACACACTTTCAGATGGTACTCATGCAATTTTGCACTCAATTGCCTTCTTCGGAGTCTTAGAACAACAAAACAAAGCTGCCCCACGTCTGCTTAGGATACTATTCCACATGGAGTTTTAAATGTATTCGGCTTGCTTTGATCATGCTGYATGAGCGCATTGTCACTATCACTACATGTTACTTATAAACTATTCCATATTCCAAAGAAGTAATTCAGTGAATTGAAAATTGATTGAAACTAGATGTTTGTGAGCATTTACATGAACATAATCTGCAATCAAATGAAATGAAATTTCATCTACGCCATAAATGACATTTTTTGATTCTTGGGCTTATTCATTTCTTGTAGTCTGGTAGAACACCTTTTAACAGAGCAATCCTGTTCAATATTGGCTACAAAGAAGCTTTAAAATTCAAGAAATTCAACTGTTTTATATTCCATGATGTTGATCTTATTCCTGAGGATGACCGTAACATGTACACTTGTCCCACCTCTCCACGACATATGTCGGCAGCTGTTGACAAATTTAATTATCGGTATGTTTCATTACAATCTTTCTTAGTTTTTTTTTGGGGGGGGGATTTGCCTATTTTCTATTTCCTTTTAATATTTTATTCATTTGTGTTGCTTTCATTTGCATTTCCCATTATTTTATTGTTCACATTGTGTTCATTTTTCCTTCCTTTCTTCATTCGTAATCATTTGTTCATGTAATTATCAGATAGTCCTTTTACAAATTACTCAAWATGATGCTAACCTTAGTCCTTTGCCATTAGATTACCATATAATAGTATATTTGGAGGTGTTGAAGCTTTTTTGAGGAAAGATTTTGAAGAAATCAATGGATTTTCMAACAAGTTCTGGGGCTGGGGTGGAGAAGATGATGACTTATATCAAAGGTTTGTTACAAATGACTTACATGGGACATGTAATMAATTATTTTGCGTCATKTRATTTKTAATAATTCCCTRCAAAATGAAGTTGTCAAACTCAGAACCATGCAAAMTGTCTCATMACTATTGAATTCACAAATCTTTTCAGAGTTGTTTCCAAGGGACATCACTTGACGCGACCATCTCTTCATATAGGACGTTATAAGATGATCAGAATTCATCACCGTCAAAGCTCTAAAGCTGACCCAAATAGGTTGGTTGAATTGTTAGCATCATTAGCTTTTTKCAAATATCATGAGAGTCTGCTTYAGATGGTTTGAGAATGTTTCTATTTTTCCTGCTTGGAAAAATAGGATATAATTCCCATTCCCCTATATCGAAATCATTGATAAGTTTTTAAAGTGCAATAAAGGATTTGAACAATAATAGGCCCTATGCAGCTGATGAGCTAAGTGCATGATTTTATAATCGGTGCCCGCTCTTAGTTAAATGCATATTACCTGTGGAGTTACAGTGTGATCCCATACAGACCAGTTGTGTGAAGCATGCGATTTTGACATAATACCTCTGTAAAATCTGTGTTTCACTTTGAGGGTGTGCTGCCAGTAATAATATTTTAATYGCATGCTCTCTTTTCCCTACTATTTTTTGTACATGAAAACTCATATACAACAAAAAAAAAAAAATTAGAAAAACTAAGGTTATGTAAACACTATTTGCTGGAATTTCAAGCAAGAAAAATATATTTGGAATACATTTGTAATTATTCCAGTTAAGTATTCGTTGTATTCTTTTTCAGCGGTGCTAGGGTTAAGAATGCCCGAATACGAATGCTGAGAGATGGTCTTAACTCTCTTAAGTATAAAGTACTTAAGATCAAAGAAGAACCAATGTATACGATGGTGACAGTGGAAGTAAATCCAAAAAATTTTAAAGATAGCTATAATCGTAAGAATTATTAATGTAGTATGTTCAAATATGTCTCAAATGTTTGGCCTCCCTTGTATCAGTCTGTGTTATTATGTTTTTTTTTTGTTTTTTTTTTTCAAAATAAGAATAAGAATTTGATAGCAAAAATGATACAAATATGATTTTTCTTAAATCGAATGAGAAACATGTATTCATCCTATAAAATATTTAATAATATTTGCTGCTAACATGTAATGTATATAGATTAATGGTTGTTTTTAACTTGATTAAAAACAGCATATATATTATATATATTAGGATAATATGTTTAATTTGTGATGCAATTCCAATGACTGTATTTTGAATAATAAAACAATTAATCTTTATTTCCTAATTGTGCAAGTTACGTGTATATGTACAAGAATCACAAAAAAGAAAGGGAAAAAAAACTAAACCCTTGTGCCTAGCATGTCATCATTGAAATTTCTAGCATATGGGATTCCTTTGTCTGAAGTTGGAGCAAAGGTACTAGTAGGTCTTCACCTCAGTCTCGGAWCGATTTTGTCTGATTGGCTCTCAAAAGAAAAATGACACTTTTTGTCTTTTTGTGAGAGAAGATTCATATTTTGAAAATATTTTAAGTTACGGTTTTTAGAAGAAAATACAATAAAMGGAAAGAAAGAAGAAAAACAGAACAAAAAAATAAGTTGATCGATATAAAGTGGTAAAACGATCACTCCGAACGAGAGGTGATCAGTCGATCCCCAGCTAGGTCATTCATGACTAGCCCATACAATACTTGCAGTCTTTCTAGTATGTGGGAGCCTTTCTCGAAATCGCAGCGCTTTAGCTACGATCAGGCAAGCGAGGCACTTACCTCGGTAAAATTTTATCGAGTTTTCTTTAATTCGTATCCAAAATAAAAAAGTTTGATCAATGGTGTAAGATAAAAATTCACAATATGCTTGGCAAAACGTTTCAAATCACGTTTCCGAGTGTCTCAATTTCAAAATGTTTCGGGGAAGTATGCCCGCGAACCCCCTAGATACGACCGCTTCCGCCGTTCGTGCAAAGTGCTCGGTTAACATTTTCCTCTGGCTACGGCGCTGAATCGGAACATAATACATATTCTGAAAAACTAAAAACACTTTGTAAATCGCGCAACTTACGCTTTGAAGAAACAGAAAAAAGGGTAGAAAAACTAAGAGAATAAACGGTCACTCATCCAACAGGTCTGAAGCGTGCACACGCTTAGGGGTGATTCGGTCGTTGCTCTCATCCATGACTGACCACGTTTACTTAGCATGTCTGTCATATAGAATGCTTGGGGTCTTTTTAGCGTTCAGATCCCTTTGAAGCTGGAGCCTATGACTCATAAATGTGAAACAAAGGCACGTACAGTTACGTTTCACGATGGTACAAAGCGCAGAGAAGACTACCGTAAATTCAATTTCGACTTGGACGACGACCATGTGTTGTTTTTTTCTCAGATTATTCTTGAAAAATTTGTTTGTGTTCAATGTATAATAGAGGAGAAAAGCCGAGGTCGAGCTCTCAGCCTCTCACACAGCGGGCAGTCCGTAGCTAGGGTAGGTGCGGGAGGTGGGTGTGAAAGTCCAAAATGACCGCATTTTTGTGAAAAAAGTGAATATTTCACTTTTTCATTACATCCTTGGACAAATAGAAATAATGACCATTTTCACAAAAGAAGAATTACATTTGAAGCAGAAGTACATAACCATGTACTTCTTATTTGAAGCCGAAAATTTTGTTTCACTGAATTTTGCATTTCAAGGCACTGACTGCTTGCAATTTTCTCGAAAACTTGTCTTGCGAATGAATCGACGCACCAAAAATTTTACAGAAAAGAATACCGTGCACAGAAGACACTGACATTGAAAAGTTCATTTTTAAGGATTTTGCATTTAAATTTGCCAAACTATTTGAAACAATTGATTTCCATTCAGAAGATCAGCAAACGTCATTAAATTTGTGTGGAAATGGATTCAAACGTTACTATTCAATGCTTACGAAAATGCCGGAATCATTAATTCTTCTTTACCATGGTGATCTTGTGATCGCTGTGATCTTTTGGCATATTGTCTGTATTGTCGCTGTCTCAATCTTGTTGGGTTCTGATACTTTGGTGGGCATAGCCAACATTCAGTATATTGCGGTCCTTGCTCACCCATTTCGTACCGTTACATTGGAAAATAAATTCTCTTGCTGTAGAAAGGATTCCCTGAAGTGTTCCCTCTGCATCTCCTGTAAGTTTCTAGCATCGCAGTATCATGCAGTTGATTGGCTCTACGAGTATTGGATATCAGCTGATGGTGTAGCACACTGTAACATGGTTCACACATTGCTAGTTGCGATGAGAGTAAACTATTATTGGTGCATGTCCTTCTTGTCACCACCCTTCCTACCAATGTTCTTCCGTCCGTCGTGGGTCCAACAACTCGGTGGCTCCTCCCTCTGATCTCTTCTGCTTGAACCATCACCTCCGTTTAACTAAATATCCAGCATATTAAAATAGAAATAAAATACACACGCACCTCAGTGTTTATAGTATCACTTGTGATAAATGTGGAATAGAAACTGGTAGTCGTCACAAGTATATTTGTTGGACTGCCTATGCTTTTTCGCAYACTTGTTACCAGACCCCATATAGTGAATGGCCTTTATGCGCATGTACTACACACATTTTGTCTTTAGTATGGTGCTTGTAGACCAGTAATTGCATGGTTATTGTTTTCATTTATAACTTGGGTTTGGTTATGAGCATTTCAAGATGGTTTTGATCGATAGTTGACAAAAACAACATACAGTGGTATAATGACCCGTACAATAAGACTGTTCCTATCATTTTCTGTGGTATGTGGAGTTATTTCTCTGTTAATATTCTATCTGTATACAAGTCGTTACAGCAATAGAATTCATTTAAGCTTACGTACAAATAATWCACCAAGAATTAAAAAGACAGATTTAACAGAAGGGAAAACAAAGATACTGTCAGAAGAGGATCTGTTGTCGTCTGTTCAACCGGTGACGATAAATACTTTGCCGGTTGCCACGCGAAAATCTCCTGGTAATTCTGGTGAGGATAGTGACACAACAGATGAAAAARCAACACAAACTACAAAACGRAATCTTAATGAAGTTGGAGATGAATCAGTACCGACCACCCTTGGCGAACAACAAGAAAAATCAACTCCAAGTAGTAGTCCTACAACTACAACTACAACAACAACAACAACAACAAAGCCAATACAAAAGACTACTGCTGTTACTGATAGCTCCCAAAATGAAAATTTGGGATTTTGTGACGAAAAGCCTCCATCGTTAAGTAAGTTTTGGCATTACATTCTAAATCATTGTCATGAAATTTTTATGGTTTTCTTTGGATTAAATGTCGGCTGCGCTATGGGTCTTGAGATGTTCAATGAAAGTAAAACTAATTCACATTAGCAAATTAGAGCAAGCAAAACACTTTGTCTTCTGTTGTTTGGTGCAGTGCAATTTCTCATTGTTTTTACAAAAATTCCTCAAAATAATTCTACAAAATTGCAATAGTTGAACAGTAGAAAACAAAGGGTTTGTACTTGTTAATGCTAATTTAGTTTGCAAGCACATTTTTAACTAATCATGCATGGAAAAAAAAGAATAGGTTCTCTCAACTACTCGACAATAGTTATTATTGCCATTAATGGAAAGCAAAGTGCAGACTCTTAATAGGAAAGTATTGTCTTTGTGAATAAGTAGTGCAAGCTTTATAAAGATTCAATTGCTACAATCCTAGACATTTTACATGGGACATTGCAACATGTTACGGTCCATTACAATTTGACAACACAACAAACACTCAATACAATATCCTGCCCCCTGGCTCCCTGTACAATGTTGGGTTGCTATTTTCATTTGGTTTTTCATGCTTCAGTACCATTACATAGTCTGCAATGTTGGGTTGCTATTTTCATTTGGTTTTTCATGCTTCAGTACCACAACATAGTGTACAAGGACAATATTGATCGTGGGGGAGTGGGGGAGTGACTGTAAGGTCGTGTCATCTGTAGTAAACTACGAATGTGTTAAGTAGAGTAACAGTTTATCGTGTCCAAATGTATATTGTCCATGATTGTAGGTCAAGGACTTTTCATCAAAATTCAAAACTGAAGACTGCATGCCTGTGGTCTTGAATTTTCAATCAAAAACAAGTTGTGGGTACTGAATTTAAAATTCAAATTCTGTCCTGGTTTTCACTCAAAATTCAGAACCTACAAATTTACATTTGAAAAACAATRCTTACTGGTATTTTTCCTTGCTATAATTGCTAAAAACTTCATTTAGCATACSTGTTGGGTATTCTGCCGCCCAGGTCARTGACAACAATGGCCCACCAGATTTCCCATTTTCCTTTTTATTGATAATATRATTGATATATTGATTTTATTTTTTGAAGCTGGGCCATTATTTGTAAATCAAAATGTTCCTAAAATGGATGATGTGGAAAAGCATTTTTCAGAGGAATTTGGAGGATGGGTGAAGAAAGGTGGAGCCTGGAAACCAGCACATTGTGAAGCGAGGGTTAAGGTATGAAGTCCCAAATCTTTTTATTGTAATAATAAGTTTTTTTTAATAATTGTTGTGTGTTAAGTGAGTTCTTCTATTTGGAATACATGGACTTAGCAGGTGTTTAATTTCATGGTATTGAAAGTTAGTTTAAATCCATATCTTATTATAGTTTAATATCATATATATCTTTATGATTAATATTCTTTTTATTCATTCATTTCATTTCATGATTAATATTCTTTTTATTCATGCACTATTTTATCAGATTTTGTCACTGCCATGTGTTACGCTCAATAAATAAAGTATATTGTACTATTATTTTACCATTGAACCTTTATCTTACGATTGAAACTTTTCTTAAATCTTGCATGGGATTACTGCTGGATAAGGCAGTATCTGGTACATGTATCTGGTGGATAGTGATATTTGCCCTTCATAGAAACAGACACTGTAGAGCTTGACCTCCTAYAAGAGAGTTAAAAATTAGGGGATTAKTTTGAGTGAAGCAATATTWTTTTTATATATTTGTAGATGGCACTTATCATACCATTTAGGAAGCGATATGAGCAATTGGGGATTTTTGTCAGACACATGCACCCAATGTTGAAACGTCAGGAAGTTGACTATCGCATAATTGTTGTGGAGCAGGTATTTTTTTCTTCTTAAATTGATTATTAATAAGCATAGTTCACAGAGTGCATTTATTATGTCCATGATATATTTGCATTTATTGAAACTACTGAATTCTATAATTATATTAGTTGTTTTACTGTCAAATTATACTTTATTTCTTTTAGTCTGGCAGCACACCTTTTAACAGAGCAATCTTGTTTAATATTGGTTACAAAGAAGCTTTAAAATTGAAGGACTTTGACTGTTTTATATTCCATGATGTTGAYCTTATTCCTGAGGATGACCATAACATGTACACTTGTCCCACCTCTCCACGACATATGTCTGTAGCTGTAGATAAATTTAATTATCGGTATGCTCTAACTCTTCAATATTTTTTATATTTGAATATTTCATTTTCTAGTCCGAATTTTAAAAGTGAACTGATGTACAATGTAATACTCAAAGACAGCTTAAATCTAAGAAGATTTWAACATTTTATTTTGTTTTGAAATAACACCTCAAACCTTTCGAAGATCTAAAGTTGGAAAAAATATAAAAAAGTCATCCAACCTAAAATTGTGACTGTTATAGTTAGGTAATCAATGCAAAAGATTTGTCCATCTACTGCAGCCAGGGAAATGTTTTTGATGTACAATGAAGTGCATAAATTGAGTGCAAAACAAAAACCATTATTTTCAAACTTGAATAGCAGCAATATTGCATTACAACTCGATTGATTTGTTTTATCAGATTGTGGTGATTTTAGCTTTAAAACATTGTAATTACTAATAATAAAAATTTGATCTGTCTAAAAGAAGTTGTTCTTTTTCTCATTAGGTTGCCATATTCCAGTATATTTGGAGGTGCTGGAGCTTTCTCGAGAAAACATTTTGAAGAAATCAATGGGTTTTCCAACATGTTTTGGGGTTGGGGTGGAGAAGATGACGACCTATACCACAGGTTGGCAAAWGTGTTTTGTACAAAGTAGAGTAYATTAATAAGCTGAATAGCGAGGTAATTGTTTATTGTTATTGTATTATATTGTTTATTGTTTCTGTATTATAGAATTGTAGCTAAAGGACATCACTTRACGCGACCATCTCTTCAAATTGGACGTTATAAGATGATAAGAGTGCATCACCATCAGAGTTCTCAGGCTGACCCAAATAGGTTGGTAATATGTTCATGAAGGCAAATGACAAGGCTAATCTATACTTCAGCACTGYTTGATGGCTTGGTCATAATGTTACTACAAATAAAAGAGCATTGAATGAAAAAGAAAAAGAAAACTTATAAAAAAAGGACTGGATAGGGATTTTTCCTGGTCTGGAAAAACCTGAATCCTCCCCTATCATGTACATCCACAATTACAATCATGATTCTTTGTATTTCCCAGGCATAACCTTTTGCAAAACTCTATGATCAGAATGGCTCAAGATGGTCTAAATTCATTGAAGTACCAATTGTTAAAAGTAGAGGAAAGACTCTTATATACGTTGGTAACAGTTCATGTAGATAGTTCCATGTTATAGCAGCTTGCTTTCGTCAATACAGTAGTCAATATGAACTGAAAACCTTTGTAAATATATTTGATAAACTATAAAAGATAGATTTGAGTCAGAGTTAACACACTTGCACCATATATTCCATTATAATAGTCAACGTTTTGTCTCTTGTGGTCTAGATAGAAAAATCTAGAAGTATGACTGAGCAAGGTCTACATTTTTCTATCTAGTCCAAGCAAACTTGTTAATACAAGTTTTAATATAATATCAGTTTACATTGGATAAAAAGYAATTCAATGATAACACTGAGTACAAAATTTTAAGGTACTGTATTTACTCATGTATAAGCCACACTTTTTTCCAAAAATAATATTTCCCAAATCGGGGATGCGGCTTACATGTATCTATGAGAAGACTTGTAAAAAAGCCCGAAAAAAACTAGCTAATTTGCATAAATCTCAAATCCTCTTTTCTATTTTACTGGGTTCTGTTGTTTATAGAATCCTTAGTTGTAAGTTTTGATTCARCATTCACTGTGCTACTTACTACATGTACAGTCTTTTTTTCCTCAAAAATGTTCCCAAAACTCAGGTGCGGCTTATCTACGAGAGCGGCTTATCCATGAGTAAATAATTCTGGATAGTACTGAATTCTGCTGATTTCTGCCTCTAGTAATATCAATTTGAATTTTGGMCTTTCTTGTACTTTTGCTTTATTTTTATATTTAAAGCTAAATAAACCCAAGAGAATCTAGATTGGTAAAAAGTAAACATCAACCAATCAGATCACTTCAGCCTCCAATATATACGGTTATATTAGAATTTTGTTTACTTAGTTATAGTATATTAACCAAAAGTGTATGAAACAAGAAAGGTACTGTTACAATTCACCAACATCCATGACTGAGTAAGTACACTTTTTTGTTTGTTTGTTTCATGGTTCAAGTGTGTTCACTCTATACTCTTTGAATATATTGATATACTTAATACATAGCAAGGCATGGCAATTTGGAAAGAAAAACCACTCTTTAATGCATGGTTAAAATGGAAAGTGAATGAAAATGGATGTAATGAAATTTTACGCAATTTTAAATTTCAGTATTTCATGATAGAAAAATTCAAAAAAAAGAAAAAAAATGCTGATAATTTTTATTTTGTCTTGTCTTATTATATTTCAGTAAGAGAGTGGCAAAGTGATGACTTTGAAAAAAAGAAAATGTGAGACTTGTATGTGAATCAACCAAATAAAAAAATGTCATTTCTTGGCTAAGGACAAAGACATTTCTTAACAACAAACAAATTTCATAATTTTGAGGAATTTCATGATAGTCACACTTTGTCACTCTTGCATTGCAAGGATATTKAGTGTATAGTGCTCATTCCCAAGCAGCCTTTTTTGTGCATGTACTATATCTATTGCTTGGATTCATTGCCAGCTATAAATATATCTTGCATACCATGAGATATTGGGTATTTGTATGATTATCCATGGTGGGGAGAACAGATTTATATTTAGTATAGAAAAGACCAGACACATCCCATAGCTTATAGTTTCCTATAGTTTTTTTTACGATCTTTTCAAAAATGCTAGAAATATGCATGGGAATCAGCAATTATCTGGACACACCATGCCTTCATCTTATATCTTTCTATAGAAATTCATGCATTTTTGCAATAGCCAGTAAATTAAATTGTTCACTAKCGATCAAATTTTGAATTTGGTCTTTTATTGTATGAAATCTTACAGTTTAAGGGACTGTAACTAGTCCGGTATCAAATCTGGCTTGCTGCATGAATTTGAAAGAAACTGTCCCTATGTGATWTGACTGAATGTAGATCTTGCAATAACAAAACATCTGTTTCACAATCTGGATATTTTATTAAATATGCCAGTATCTATGACTTTACAAGTTGCTCAGTGGTCTTGCAAATAAGGCATGGCTGTTATTCTGTAACATAATATATTATATATTTTATAGCCTGCAAACATCTGGTTTGTTCTAAAAATAACCTTGGATGTTTTTGGGTAAATGCTGGGTAAAACTTGAGCATATTTTAAATATTACATTTATTTAAAGGCCCAGTTTGCACCATTATCCTTTGCGCGCCTTTGTTATTGTTATGATTTACACCAAAAATACTTCTAGTATCCAAATATCACTATAAAATGGTGGGGGTGAGATGGCAATGGGGCGAGATGACCGTAATTCAATAAAACGAGTGTCGGATGATTGAAAACTCTAATACTAGCTTTTAAAGTGCTTAGAAAAGTGAGATGGTCAAAGATTCGAAACGCACAGTACAATCTATAGACTTTCTGTAAACTGAAAATGGCCGCCTCCAGTCCCTCGTGGCCCCCAAAGCATAATGGTGCACACTGGGGCCTTTAAACAGTTATCTTCAGAGAAATTAGAGATTATAATATATAATACCAAAGAACTTTATCTCATGAAGGGCTAGGTTATATGGTACTATATGTGCCAGACTGGTTTCTTTAGTTTGGCACTTGATATAGAAATAAAGGAAAGTTATAGTCACTAGGAAGGAGGTTATTCTCTCTGGGAGAAAGACCCTTGGAAGTAAAATGTGGAAAAATCAATTTATGACCTAACTGTGAATCGAAGYCATGACCMTGGGATTTTGTACTACACCAAAATGCTCTACCATCTGAGCTACAAGGTCAGGTGGGTTCGAATCCCAGCGAGGTCAGAAATTAATTCTTCAGAATTTATTTTACAAGGGTCTTTCTCCCAGAATAACTGCCTTTCCACTTTATTTCTATATCATGTATCTCATAGTGCTATGCAGTCCTATACATTCATATCTTTAGTCTTATACTGACCATGCATTCAATGCTTTATGGTGGGCTCAAGTGTGAATACAAAAGACATTTAAAACTCTTTGGGGAGGTAAGGGCTACCTTCAAAAATGCTAGATTATACTAATTCTTTGAGAGTGGCTTTCTACTCATTTTAAAAACAAAGACGAAACAAAAAAGCAACAACAACAGATAACATCAAAAGCAAGAAAGAAGTCTCATTCACAAAGACTTCCATCTTGTTTTTTGAATTTATGCATGTGGAAAATTTGCATGCTTGAATGGTGTAAAGAAACTTATATGACATGAATTATAACTCAAATAGTTAYAGAGTTATTAGCTTCCAAATTATTTTGATAAATTATGTATGTTTCCATTATTATGGCAATTAAAATGACATTGATTTTGAAGGTCTATGTGAAGCTGGCGTTTGTAAGGTGTGTTTGTATCGTGATTTATCCTTACCAGTATATCTGTCATGTATTAAGACTGACATGTTACGTGATATATAAAATATGAGTGGGAGACCTTTACTGGTTAGTGTGGGACTCACACTAACCACCAGAGCGCAAGAATTCATGATTTATGGTCATCTTATATGGTCATAGTGGGGGCGAGATGGCAATGGGGTGATGTGACTGGTAATGGCATTCACATAAGTGTGGTCAAAAATAATATACAAGGACTCACTGTTAGAGTGAAGTTTCTTATTTGATTGGTGTCAGTCGAAGTAAAAATATTTAGAATTGAAAACCTTTGCCATATTGTAAGTACATGTAAATATAGACTATTGAAGATTTTTTAGCTTACAACATATACTGTCAAATTATTCCACCTATGATAATTTATTACTAATATTATTGGAGTTGTTTTTTTAGTTACTATAATCTAYATTTTTCAAATACTTTATTTGTCATTTCTATTTTATTTTTTAGCTTACATGAAGTTATTTACTAAAGTACGTTTTCTTCTGTGCGAGGCATAGTTTCATAAATTAACTTTGATTTAGTCTTGAGATTGACCATCAGGTACATGTGTATGTCTCTAAAACAAGTTTTCAACAACATCTTTTGTCAAAGAAAATACCTTTTTGATGTGTATTTTCCAAAAAAAAACAGATTTTTAATATATGCTCCACTCAAGTGACATAAGTATTAGATTGACATACAACCCTAATTTATGAAATATTTGCTGCTAAGGTTGCACATAAATAATTTATTTGGATCATCATTCAAGTTACGAAGTATTCATTTTTCGACAATATGCACTACTTATTCAATTGGTAAATTACATGTCTTGGTCATTACACATGGCCTTATTCCACATGGCCTGCTAGTGCCTCATTCTGTTCTTTTCTCACTATTTTTGTGGGATCTAATGACAGTTCACTAGACATTTTTACATGAAAACTGACCGAATGCAGGTTGAAAAAGCTGTTCACAGTAAGTTTACGTTTAGCAGTTGAGAACACTACATATCAGGACAGTGCAGTCTTATTCCATTCCTCGAAACTAAGACATGTAATTATGTACCAGTTATGCAAGCTATTGTAATATTAATTTCTGATGTTATCCAACATGGCCTAGGACTTCTTAAGTCTAATAATAATCAGTTGCTTTTTCAAAGACCAAGTGATTTTTTTACTATGTCATTTGCAATTTCATTAAACTTTGTTCTATTTTCCCTCCACATTTTCTGAAAATAAAAATAAAACACAGGGTTAAGAACAAAAGTTCAAACTTTCTGAGACAAAAGCAGCAGGTTAGCAAAAAAAGAATTACTTACTGAGGCATCGACATTTGCTCCGCTTTCATCGTTTGGCTCTACAAAAGAGAAAAGAAAATGGTCAAGCTATTATATAGGTTTGACATTCACTGACAAGCATTACTCTCACATACAAAAAATTCTTTTTAAAATTCTGTTATATGCAATATACCATCAAAGGAATAAAAAAAACCGATTAGCATAATGACATCATGATGAATTGACAAAAAAACAACAACAACAAAAAACAAACAAACAAACAAACCAAACCAAAAAAACCTTGAAACCCTAGGCTGGTGAAAGGGGTAGTGTTTCCTTGTGGATTCGAACATTAGGACATCATTTTTCCCAMTAATTTTGACAACCATACCTGCCAGCATACTGACTACTGAAAGAAGAATTTTTTCAACAGACTGAACAGGGCTCCACCTTTCAGCACTGCTCTCATAACCCATTGGGTCATCTCCGGGTGCRTGAAGAATTGAGATACATACACGCCCATCTGGATACACTGAAAATGATACAGTAGTAATTCTATATTGCGTCTATTTGATTTTCCTGATAGGATTATTTRGTAGGCTAATTCAATAAGTTGGTCYCAGTCCCCAAAGAAATCAAGGAGTGAAAACTATTTGGAATCAAATTACTAGTTAATGCAATGCTATACATTTTACACAGCTGTTTGGTGCCTTTTTAAGAGGAGCYTGTTACTACGGATCTCACTGAACTGCAATGTGGGTGTGTTTGTATACGAAAGTAGGCATGATGACAAAGCAAATTTCACAGTTCAGTGAGATCCAGAGTATATAATTTTTCAAATAAATACTAATAAATAACACTGATTGTTCTGCTTATGTTCTGCTTATGCTATCACTTTCCAAAGATCAGAGTTCTTGAATATTACATATGATAATTATAAATAAGTTATACAATGGACATAATGATAAAAAGACAGCAAGACAAAGAAGCAAGAAAGCTTTTTCTTGATATGAAGCTACAACATAAGATAATCAAAATAATTAGTTTATATTTTTTCTGCATACCATTAGGGTGAAACATTTCACCAACAAATCTCATCTTTGGTGGACTTAGTGGGTAGTCGTGAGGAAAGGTTAAACGYGTTGTAAACACACCACCTTCAAATGATGTGCCTTCTGGTCCACTGAAAAAAAGGAAAGGAATTCTGGGATACTGATAGGAAAATGGCAGCAAAATTTTAAAAGAGACAAGAGGTGATAAGAGGAGTGGAAGTTAAAATTGCTTTAAAATAACACAATGACCTTTCAAATTATTAAATACTTACGATATTAGTGCTTCCCATTCAAAGAAGTTATCTTCAGATATTGGACCTTTAAGCATTATAATAGGAATTAATAATTAATAATATATAAGTAGCTGTTATGTGCCAACTGATGATCACTTACCAGCTATGATTCCTTCAGGTGGATTTAGAGTCAATTCTATAAATTAATTAAGATATCTTAATACTTATGATATGAAATGATCAAGCTTATATGTAATAAGCTCAAAATAAGCATTGATTAAGCAGTTTTTGATTGTATTAATTAAGGTTTGTATAATAAAACCCAAAACTACTTTCAATGATCCGCACAACAAACATCTGAAGCTCCAGTCAAAAGTCAAACATTTTCAGTGTTAATTCGTATTTATCTTGTAAATAGAGGAAAAAGTGGATTAAACTCCTAATGCCTTCAAAGATAAAGTATTACTTGAAACTAAAATGAACAATACTCACGCTTGTACTCGGCCATAAGCCTTTTCAAGGCCGCCCCTGCCATTAGCCAATGTTATTCTACAATTTTATTTTATGAAAAAGTTAGTCAAAGGGAGTGATTTCGACGTTTAAACGCCATGGACTTAGATTCCTTGTTCGAAAGTGTCCACCATATTGGATTGTCAGCGGTAGGGATTGCAGGCTTAGAAATCTTCAATTGACAAAGGAATCCCGTCACCACTTTAATAATGATAGCTCTCAAAGTCACCTTGGATTTTTTTGAAATTCTTATCATAACAATGGCGTATCCAGGGGAGGGTCACATGGTGCCCATGACCCTCCTTTTCAAAGCAAAAAAGCGATAAAACCATAGATTGATATGACATCATATTGACGTCACAGTGACAATTTGGTATATGCAAGGACCCCCCCAAAGAAAATCCTGGATTTGCCCCTGCATAACTTCTCTGATCTATCAACTGCAGACTTTGCCCCTCACGTCCTAAAAGATTATAGGAGTACCCCCTCTCACTAGGAATTAGCATTATTTGGTACCATTCGAGATGTCAAGACAATTGATTAATCAAGGTATCAAT